CTAACAATGTGCATTATAATTGCTAACATCTCATTGACCTCAGGCAGAGCTGTATCTCTCAGTCTCCCCTCCCCCACAAAAGAAATATTCAAGTTTTATTCACTTCTAATGAAATTATCTATGTGACATCCACCCTCTTGTTGCTCAAAGAAAATACTGGTTCTTTTTATAGTTGCCATCCATATGAAGTATGTAATCTAAAAGATTAAGGCTCATTTTTTAAGAAATAGCAAAATGTTGTGCATTGCAAATATAAGCACCTCTTAGTCTATGCCAATGCAGAGCATGGACTTGGATGAGGCAAATAGCTCCAACACCCCAGCTCTCTTTTATTAGGAAAGTTCCATGAGCTCTCAAGGTTGGCTGAAAATGCAACTTATTCTCAGCTAGCCTGAGGGCTCCTACATGGGACTGAATCTGTCCTGGTCACTGTTCCCCTGTGATAAGTTTCTGTCTGTTGCCAAAAAGGTACTCAGCATGGGGCGCCTGGGTGGTTCAGTAGGGTAAGTATACGACTCTAGGTTTCAGCCCTGGTCATGATCTCACGGTTCATGAGTTTTGAGCCCCACATCAAGGTCTGAGCTGACAGTGAGGAACCTGCTTAGGATTCCCTGTCTTCCTCTCTCACTCTCTGCCCCTACCCCACCCATGCACGTGTGCATGTGCGTTCTCTCTCTCTCCCCCCACTCCCATTCTCCCTCTCAAAATAAATAAAAACTTTAAAAAAAAAAAAAGGAACTCAACAAGACCAGGGTTTTGGTACCTATCAACTGCTTTTAAATTATAAGTAGATGACTATATGCAGAATCAATAAAAATTATCAAAAATCTTGCATTTACTCCTCAACCCACTTGAATCTGGTTTGTTTCTAAAACACTCGTCAGTGAGTCCAAATCATTCCCAAATTGCAACCTCCCAGTTGTCTCCAGTTGCTCAAGAAATATCAAATATGTAATACAGACCCAACACGGTGGACACAAAGACATAAAGATGAATGACACTTCTAAAAAACTTACAAACCTATGAGGAAATTGGATGTGTAAGTCAATAAATTTACATAATGTGGTAAGTATACAAGAGACATATCTCTAACATACTGCAGGAAAACTAAGAGTTGTAATAATTCCACTCAGTTTGGAAGAAAACAGCAAATGGTGAACAGCAATCCCAATTTCCTGAATACTTAGGAACCCCTAGGTACTGTGTTATCCTCTTTAAGTGAATTATCATATTCCATGCCCATGACAATCTTATGAAGTAGATGTTATTAGGCTCATTTTACAGAAAAGGGAATTGAGTCATGTAGATGACGATAAAGTAGAGCTAGGAATCTCACCCAGATTTACCTAACTCTAAGAAGATGAGGACTTTCAAGTAAGTGTTAAAAGAGGTTCAAGGAATATAGAGGAAGAGGAAGAGCCTTTGGATAACATAAGCAAAGGCAGAGAAGACAGGAAATAGTCATGGTTTCTTTCAGGTTTGTGTAGCAATTAAAATGTTTACTTATTTAGTAATGAATACATATTTTAAAGCTGCACCCTATATAATAAGTAATTCAACAATATTGTTTATTCCCATTCTCATATTTCATCAATCTTTTTTTTCCTCAAAACTTCCCACATCCATGTCATTTCATTTAAAAAAGAGAGAGAGAGAGAGAGCGAGCAAGAGAGTCACCTGAGAAGCTGCTATTAAGAAATGGGCAGAGGGCCTGAACAGACATTTTTCCAACTAAGACATACAGATGGCCAACAGACATATGAAAAGATGTTCAACATCACCCATCACTAGGGAAGCACAAATCAAAACCACAATGAAAGAAGAGCCTGGAAGGTTCAGTCAGTAGAGCATGCGACTCTTGATCCCGGGGTTGCGAGTTTGAGTCCCATGTTGGAGGAGAGTCTACTTAAAAAAATTAATTAAATTATGGGGTGCCTGGGTGGCTCAGTCGGTTGAGCATCTGGCTTCGGCTCAGGTCATGATCTCACAGTTTGTGAGTTTGAGCCCCGTGTCGGGCTCTGTGCTGACTGCTCAGAGCCTGAAGCCTGTTTCAGATTCTGTGTCTCCCTCCTCTCTGCTCCTCCCGTGCTCGTGCTCTGTCTCTGTCTCTCTCAAAAATAAATAAACATTAAAAAAATTTTTTTTAATTAATTTAATTAAATTTTTAAAAAGCCACAGTGAAATATCACCTTACACCAGTCCGAATGACTAGTCAAAAGGTAAAAAAAAAAAAAAAAAAAAAAAAAAAAAAAAAAAAAAAAAAAAAAAAAAAAAAAAGAGTGTTGGCGAGGATGTGGGGAAAAAGGAACCCTCACACACTATTAGTGAGAACACTATTAGTGTGGCCACAGTGGAAAACAGAATGGAGGTTCCTGAAAAACTTAAAAATAGAACTACCATATGGTCAAGTAACTCCACTGCTGGGTACTTACCCAAAGAAAACACTAATTCAAAAAGATATACGTACCCCTATGTTTATTGCAGCATTATTTACAATAGCCAAGATACGGAAGCAACCCACGTGTCCACTGATAGGTAAATGGATAAAGATGATGTGGTATATGAATACAATAGAATGTTACTCGACCATAAAAAAGAATGAGATTTTGCCATTTGCAACAATATGGATGGACGTAGAAGGTATAATGCTGAGTGAAATAAGTCAGTCAAAGAATGACATGTAACCATATGATTTCACTCGTATGTGGAATTTAAGAAACAAAACAAGAAAACCAAATAAAACAGACTCTTAAATACAGAGAACAAACTGCTGGTTGTCATAGGGGAGGTGGGTGTAGGGATGGGTGAAATAGGTGAAGGGGTCTAAGTATATTTATCGTGATGAACACCGAGTAATGTACAGAGTTGTTGAATCACTGTATGGTACACCGGAAATTAATATAATGTTTGTTATGTATGTTAATTATGCTTCAATTAACAACAACAAAAAAAAAAGAGTCCCCTAAAAACTTGGTGCACCACTGACACTCTGTTACGGAGGACAACTGCACAATAGTGAGATTAGATTGTTATAATGTAAACATCTAAAAGAAATCCTTAAACTATTAATACTTTGTAAATCAGTAAGTTCCTAACAGAGCACTCTGAGGGAAAGACTTTCTAAGAATTCAAATATATGATGCAAGGCTCTAATTGAGATTTTTTTTTTTTTTTTTTTT